GTATGATGGTCTTCTCTAATTCGACACGATTCCTTCCTGCTGGTTTCCTCTACCAGTCAAATTATTGTAGCCACATCTACCTTAGTCGAACCATTTTCCTTTGCCTTTACTTTATTTTACTGAATGTGCTTGCAACACCACATCACTCTTCGACTTGCATGCAGCTCTTTCAGCCATTCTTTGTTCATGAGATTCAAGCGTCCCTTTAAACTCTTCTTTTGTTAATTTCGAAAAATCCTTCGACTCTTCTATGGCTACCACCCACATGGTCAAACTTTGGAGCCAAAGATCTCAAGATCTTTGAAACAACAACTCTTGTTGTTAACGTTTCTCCACATACTTTGATTTGATTCACTAGTTTCATAATCCTAGTGAAGAAATATGTTATACTTTCACTTTCTTCCATCTGAAGCAATTCATACGTTCTTTTATGAGTTTGTAACCTCACATGTTTAACCTTTTCTGCAATCCAAAAGACTTTTCCAAAATTTCTGAAGCTTCTTTTGTAGATTCTACATCACTAACCTTTTTGAAATTATCTGTACTCAGACATTGATGATTTATAAAGAGAGCTTTATAATTCTTCTTCTTCAATTCTTTGTGTGCAACCTCTTCCTCTTCTGTTGCATTTTTTTAAGCGGTTCTAACCCTTCTTTCACAAGATCCCAACGATCTTGACAACAGAACACAACCTTCATCTGCTTGCACCAATTCTCATAGTTATCGACTTTCAGAATTAGAAGACTTGCTAGAAAATGTTCATTAAGATGATTCACTGCCATCATTATTTTCTTTCCTTGAATCACTCAACCAGGACTCTTGATACCAGATGTTGGAACTCCACCAAAACCTATGGAGAATTTCAATCAATCTTGATGAACAAGATTGTTATCAATACACAATAACAATGAAAAATTGAGGAAGAAAGAAAATTAGGGTTTACAAAAATAAGGGGAAGAAGAAGATTATTTTTTGCAGAGTAACTCTCTTCCTACAAACCGTGAAAAATATTTATTCACTTGCAACTGTAAATTCTGTGAAATTACTTGATATTGGACATGTCTTCCATCAAAAGGTCTTCCATCAAAAGTGTTGGTGCTACACAGTTATCAACAAATTGGAAGTGTGTTTGGTGTCCAACAAATTTTAGTATCAGAGACCAACGTATCAATTACATTTAATCACTTCTATTTCTTTAAATCAATACTTGTGTCTACATATCAGTGTAGGTATCATATTTATGCTTAATTATCAACATATGCAGAAAAGATGCTTACCAGATAGAGTTCAAGGTAATCAAGTTGCAAATCTTTTAAAGTTTTTTCCAATGCATTTAGCACATCTTCTGGATGATGATCTGAAGACCTGAAAACAGTAAGAAACCAGAGGCTTCATGTTAATAAACACAACCTAAAATTAACCTTTTTTTTCAACATCAATTAAAAAAAATAGAAAATTTCACAAATAAAAATTAATAAATCATACCATGGTTTTGAGGTAATCCATAACTCATCGCTCTTAACAACACTATCCTCGCAAAGCCTCTTTAGTGCATAACCAATCTATACAAAGTCAAGAAAACAACAAACAATCAATTACCTTGAAGTTAAGCAATTGTTCTAATTCTCTTCACAATTCACATCATAATATTATGATAGAGAAAAGACATTCAAGTTAAATGAAAAAAAATTAAAATTTATCAAAAATAAAAACTAGACGTAAAACAAAACCTGTTACCTCATATAATACAACAAAGTTGCGGCTTCAGGCGGCCATTGCAAAAGTTTGATATACCATATATGATGGAATTGAAAGAAGTGCTAAATGGGAGACGTCGGATTTGTCTGAGTTCCTAGCAGAGAATCTTAAGTTCAAACCTTAGCAAAAATTGTGAGTGAAACTTGGTCCCTTAAGTGTTTTGAGTGATGTCAACAATACGAGAATATTACATTCCCTTTATTGGTCATCATACTTGATTATAGTTTGGTACCTTAATCATTTGAAAGCACTGGGTTGGTTAGGAGTCATTCAAGGTCATTCAAAGTCACCTAAAAATTGAGTCAAGCCATTAAAAACACGTTTCTATTGAAATTTTCATTGCATGTGTCGACTCATCCGAGTTTCAGGTCGATACATGTAATGCATTTTTAAGACTTGTAGCCCCTGTAACTTTTCGGTCGACACAAGCATCGTATAGGTCGACACATACTGAAGTTTTTCTGAAATTGTAGAAAATCTTATTTTATGTGTCGACACATCCAGTTTTCAGGTCGACACATTTGATGTTGTTTTAAAGGTTGTAGCTTCTGTAACTTTTCGGTCGACACATAGTCAGTTATAGGTTGACACATTCTTTTCAAAAGTCATGTATGTGTCGACACATACGACTCTTGAGTCGGCACATACTGTTTTTCTTGGTTAATTTTTTATTCCAAAATTATCCTTCCTTGCCGCAAAATTTTCCAAAACTATAAATATCACTTCATGCATCATTCCAAGATGTTGAAAACTATAAAATTAGTCTATTTCTATCTTCATCTTCCTCCTCCAAAGCTATGCATACACACTGACTTTACATTGTAACGATGTTCTATTGGGGTGCCATCTAGACGATGATTGCTAGTGTCTAATTGTGTATTGGGTGGAATTTCGTAAGGGTTTTCATCCAGAAAAAATCTCGGGTATGTCCTTCAAGATCATTGGTTGATTTAGAGTTTTTTATGCAAAACGTTCGAGAGGTAATTTTGGTAAAGTGAACAACCTTGGAGTGCTTAAAATATTTGCAAGGAACTTTGGAGTGTTTGAAATCTTTGCAAGGAAGTAACTTGGAGTATCAGATTGAATCAAAGTTTTGTGTTGCAATTGTTTGAGATTGACGGTGCGCAAAAGCTTTGGAGATAAAGAATGCAAAGGAGTAGCAAGATCCAGATAGTCATTTCTCACCAATTGTATCTTGGTCTCTCTCAAGATCAAAAGAAGAGAAGGGGTTGAATCAACAACAAGCTTATGATTTTGGAGTTGCTCTTGAACACTTCTCTTGTACCAATAATTATTTTGCATAGTAATAATTATCCTAATTCCATTGGAATTAGGCGCAGACATACCCACACGCGAGGACGACAGTGGCGAACTGTGAAGACAAATTTCTTGTTTCGCTTTTACTTTTCGCTTTTACTTACTTTGATTTCCATTGATTAATATATCAAATAACAATGTGTTATCATTTGTTGTAAGAATTTTCCTACGTGATTTTGTTTTTAAGTCAAGTGTTGATATAGATTATAATCACTTTTGATTATAAGTGGTTTTGTGTATCAACACAATCAAAGAAAAAATTCTGAAAATTCGCTTGCACACCAAGTGTTTGATAAATTGACTAAACTAGCTATTTTGATTTTATCATTGGAAATAGCCTTGTTAAACAAAATTGATTAAACAATAAATAAGTTACAAAGTGATTCAAGGTTATTAATTCAATCATTCTCATTCCATCTTAACTTTTGATTTACGGTTTGCATATCCGAGCTTCCCGATAACGTTCGTAAAGACGACAATTTACTTCCTCTTCACACTTTGATAAAACTTTTTCAAAATCAAATTTTATTTAGATATTTTTAAAAGGGGGTATCTATTCACCCCCTCTAGATACCGTTGTCATCGTCTGATAAAAGTCTCTTCGTCCAACCTTTCAAACAAAACACTAATTGGTTCCAAAGCAAGACCTGCAAGCAAATAAAAAAAACAATTATCCACATCATGCCAATCTAAAATTTTGGAACCTCATATTCTTTCAATCTATTTATCGAGATTGGCAACAATAAAGTAACTCATCAAATCAAAATGAACTGGAAAAAAAAAACAAAACGATACAAATCATTGATTCTAATAAGTTAAATGAGATTGTAATTTGGAAACAATTGATTATTGAACAGAGCTAATTAGTTCAGAAAACAATTTAGTACCGAAAGAAAACCCTCTGCTATTTAGCTTCGTAACTCGATCTTTACCATAATACTTATCTAGCTTAGTATAAACCCTATCTCCGTTAATGCAGTCACCAACATAACTTCACCATCAATCTCTGAGGCAAATCATGAAGACGTCTTCTCCTTGGAGAATCTCACTTCTTCAGCTCTAACTGGAGAAGGAGGAGAGTACTGAAGCCAATCCTCGTCGACGGGAGGATCTTCAACTCTAACCCTAACTTTCTCTCTTTTTTTCTGCATCGGGAGAATTCGAATCCAAATCAGAATTCGAGTTGGAGCAAGAGCGTTCGTGGCTGATGGATTGGGATTCAGAAGGAGAAAGGAGGTGTGGTGGTGATTGTATCGCATATGTATGGAAAAAAAATGGATGTGAATCGATACCTATTTTGTTGAATAGGGAAGAGATGAAGAATTAGAAGTTTTAGTTGTTTGAAGAGAGATGAAAGAGAGGATGAAAATCGATGCATTGAGAAAAGAAATAGGATGTAAATTGGAAAAAGATATTGAAGATGAACCGTTTTATATATTTTAACGGTGGAAAACATTTCTCCGTATACACATAACTAAACCGAATGTGAATTGACAGAGAATTAAATATGATCAATTTAATTAATAAGTAAATTAAAATAAAATAAAAAATATAATATCAAAGATTTCTTGTTATAGTAAAAATTCGAAATAACAATAGGGTTGAGAATGTAATATGTGTTAAATTTGTCCAAATACTAATCTTGTTTTATCATATTTTATAGATAGATATACACTATTAATAATTCTAACATAAGCAAAAGACAAAAAAAACAAAAAAAAAACATTGGTACTGTACGTAAGAGTCAAAACGAAACCGCGTAACAGACAGAGATAATAGCTCGCATTTTTCCTTTTCTTTTTATTTTGGGAGGAAACTTAATCAGCAAGTCTAACTCCACAGTTTAAGTAGTGAAAACCCATTTCTTATATAACTTCTCCTTCATAGTCATAATTTTGATCGTTGAATATTCATAATAATTCAGAATGAGTTTCTTGAGGCCATCTGCGATGTACAACCTTGTGATGACTTATCCTTCCTCTCGATGGATGCCTTGTCAGAGTTGGAGTTTCCTTCGATGGCCGGGTCTTGAAGGCTTCTTCAGAGTTCTTGTCGTTTTTCTTCTTTGGTCTACCTTCTCTCAACTCTGCTATATACCTTCTTCTTCTATGTACCCTACCCTACGCGTTGGTGATCGAATTATTGTCGAAAAGGTACATTCTTCTTTCCGTTTCTCTAAGGGATTCAGTAATATTCCATAATTGTTAATTTATAGGTCAATGGCATGCGATTTTATGGACTATAATTCTACTTGCATTTTGTTATTCATCGTATATTCCGTGCAGGATTGGTTGAAATCTTCTTTCATTCCCTTTTTAGGTATTAGACTTTTATATTCAAATCCATTTTCACTTTTTTTTTTATATTCCCTTTTTATTGTTTAACTAATAATCCTAATTTGATGGATGATAGTTTAGTTTTTCTGTCTTTTATTGGAAATTGGTTTGCCTGCTCAAGAATATCTTCGGTTGCAATTTTCTAGTGTGAGTGGTTAAGTTTCATATCAACTAGAAACGGAGAAAATATTAGGTTTATAAGAGAAAGGAGCCCTATCTCTGATGCTTTAATTTTGGGTGGATATGTGGTGTAAGGATCTCTTGGATTATGAAAGTTTAGCCAATTTCGTAATGCTTTCTCAGCTCATGCGTTTGTGACACCATTTCTTCGAGCTGTCTCATTAAATGACAATGAGGATATGAAGACTTGAAAACAACATATTTCAGTCTCAAGTTGGTAAATAGAACAAAGATAGAAACCTTAATTTATGCCACCATCACCAACAGTGACACGATCCCTATCACCATTACTGAAAACTTCTAATCTTCCGTCGTCTTAAACCTTGTTGCTAGAAGCTTCTCCGAATGCCATTATTTTTAGAAACGCTTTCAAAGCACGCATGGTCGTTTGTGACAACATTTGTTCCAGCTGTCTTATTTTTCCTTCTTGATTTTGTTGGGACCCCTTCCAGTTTTTAGGACTCGCGTTTAAGGTTTGTTTCGGTTCAGATACATCAGTTTCTTCCCTGTTTAAGTTTGTCTGCATTGAACGTCTGGCCTGTTCACCGTGTCTATGATCCAGTCTATATTATATGGTTTTGCTGCAACTTTTTTGGTTGAAACATCATGTCGGGAATCCCAACAAATGTTCCACAATAAAGAGTTTGATCTAGTTTGTTTTAGAAGGAGCGGCGACTATCACAACAGAAAAATTGAACTCATTAGAACTATTTGAACTGATATTCTTCTGCCGAGTTATTGATTTTGGGCTAATGTCTTTCAGATCATCTTACTAAGAAGACTTCAGTTATTGATGCAAAATTGAAAGATGATTAGAAATTAGCTGATTATCAACTTGTAACTCCGTTGAAGAATTTTATTGAGCCTAAGTTGATGGCTCATTCTTCTAGGACATGTTATGAGGTTTTAAGCCTGAAAACTCTTATGACTATTTGACTAACACATGTAAAATTTGGTTCTTGCTTGTTTATTGAGGACTTCATTATTATCTCAGTAGTCCATACTATCATATTGAAAGGTTAAACTTTTGACATATTTTGCATATAGCACACAGTTCTCGGGATAACGTGGCCTTCTCCTTAGTTGGTTATCTTTCTCATCTAATGTTAAGTTTAGTAAATTAGTGTACAAGATTAAATGAAAATAGCTTTTTCGGTGGTCATGGAAAAGAGTTTTAAATTGATTGAGAATCATGTTTCTTAAAATAAAGTTATCAGAAGCAAACTGTTTTCGTATACATTTGTCGGTGAGAATATGAAACTCTGTAGGTTACAATTCCAGACAATCCCTGTCCACTGCTCTATCGCCAACGGGTTTAAAAAGAGGTCCAAAAGGAATGTTGTATATTTAACAGAAATTGTATGGTTAATGCATATTTTGTTGTTTTTCTTGCTCATTTATATATGTTGCTATGATGTTTTAGCTACTGAGATTTGGAAACTTTGCCTTATGCTGAAACAACTTTTTAGCATTTAAACAATTTCGAATCTTTCTGTGCCACAGTCAAATGTTAGTAATTTGTAACATTATGTTTTACAAATTATGGTAGGAAACACTTTCAGAAGTAAGATCAAGGATGTCTTCTGGTCTTGTTTTTTTTTTCCTACCTGTCTCATCTCTTTTTATATTTTACTGGTTAATTCCTCAGGCTTCATATTACATCAGGACTCCTGCTATACGTGATATTGTAACATTTCGAGATCCAACGCAGGTATGTTGTGCTAGTACACACTGTACTCGTTGAAATATGTAGCATACTCGTAATGACATGAGTGGTTTTTCTTATGTAGCATGGAGAGAACACAAATGTTTTTATCAAGAGAATTGTTGCAAAAGAAGGAGATACTGTTGAGGTAGTAAATGTCAATTGAAATTTACATTATATATACCAAACTTAAGTATCCCATTGATAATTAACTCGATAAAACCATCATTGCTGAAAAATGTATGTGAATGTGATCCACTTATTGGAATGGAAATATAATTCCTAATTACACCGTTCAGGTTTTTCTAAGTTCAGTTGTCCCACATTTTGCAGGTTCATCATGGAGTACTCTATGTCAATGGTGTTGCTCAAGAGGAGAATTTTGTAATAGAGCCGCCAACATACACAACGAAATTAACTGTGAGACGATTGTTATCCATTCTGAAAAATTCTATTGTTATTTTTTCAGATTTTTCCTCATTAGTTCCATGATCCTTGCAGTATGTGCCAACAGGCCATGTTTATGTTATGGGGGATAATCGCAATAATAGCTATGATTCACATGTATGGTAAGTAACTTTTTCAACAAGCTACTCTACTTTCAGTTTTCATTCTTCATTAATTTTCAACTTCTTGATATGTGTAATTTTCTGAATGTCTTGATGTTTAATGCAATTAGTTTTTTTTCTTCTTTTTTCTCTATTATTATTATCTTTACCTCTTGTTACTATTTGTATTATGTATGAACAGGGGACCACTTCCTATGAAAAACATAGTTGGAAGATATGTCATGTGCTGCCATAGACCAACAAATTGAGACTATTATATATGGTTAAGATGAAATATGTTGGACGAACCAATCAGAATTATTATTTTTCTTTGGTTTCCATGAAGAGTTACAACTTACAAGTCATGGCAGCATCTGCTAAATCTTCATGGGAGTTGGATTCTTCTCATATACTTGCTCATAGTGAGTACAAAAAAGCCATGTCATTTATCGATTGATCATATTAATCTCAGTTTTTTGTTGTTGTTGTATTTGTTCACTAGTACTTTCACATTTGCGATGCACGGGACAAATTATGGATAGATATTGTTTGTGAGAATTTTATTTTGAAGATTTTTTGTTGATTGAATAGTTGAAGTACATATAAATTAGTGGTGGAGTAATGAGCTGGAGTAATTAATACTAAACATTAATTATTATATTAAATATTAATTAATATATTAAATAACATTTGTTGGAAAGAGAAAAAAATAATATAATTAAAAAGTGTTTGAGCGGGATTTTATTCAAAATTTGACGTCTAAGTGTTTATTCTGTTTTAATATATTAAAAATATATCTTGTTTAAGCTGCTGTCAAAGAAATGTGTAAAAGACATATCTTGTGGACATTTTAAGTATGTTTCTCACTGTAATACGGTGTGAGAACTGACTTGAGTGTTTTGCGTTTTATATCAATTGTTGCGGATAGCAAGAATCGTCATCGACTTTTCTTTTATCCAATAAAGAAAATGGTGAAAAGAACATGAAAAACCTTTTGAAAATTTTCTTGAGTTCAAGGTAGGTTATGAAAAGGGAAGGTGTTAGCATCATTTTTATCCGTAGTTATCTACGGGCTCTTAGTTGCTAGCTCTCTTTGAAATGCTTTGTTTGAAATGTGTTTGTGATATTTTTGAAAGTATTTTTGAAAAGTGCACTCGTTTAGGCGAACTTTGTAATGATTCTCATCTCTATAAGAATGCATACAAAGTGTTGATTTTTGAAAATATTTCATTTGAAAGTGTTGGTGTGTTTTTGAAAGATGTTTTGGAAATGGATGTGAGCAAGCAACTATGAACGTTCTACCTACTCAAAAAGAGTCTCTGTTCTTTTTCTCCTCCTTTGGATATTGCTATCTTACCATTGATTGATAAGAAACCTTATTATTGGATGTGAAGGGACAGACGTGGACCGTCGTATACTCATAGAAAACAATACCTTAGAAATTTTGTAAGGGTCTAAGATCAATTATAAAGGCAACATTTGAAGGGTCATCGAGAGACTATGATCTTGTTTTTGATTGTTTTTGCTAAAGTATCTCACGTTTGCGTAACATGACTATTTTTATCTTAGGCAATAAGTGATGTTAGTCCTAGAGGTGCAAGTGTGCAAGTGTTTTGATTTCATGCATTTTTGTCTTTGAATTAGGGTTTTTTACTTGTTGATTTTATGTTTTGCCATACAAATCCTAATTACTAGCATTTATATTAAGAACGATAAATTGCAGAAATTTAAAGTTCTACGCTATTACATCATTTGGGGACAGGGATACAAATTTACAAATGAGAGATAAAAGCAAATAAGACTTAATTAATATTACAACCAAATTGAATGATTCAAAATAAAATGTACAAGAATATAAAGGTAATGTAAAAGAAAAAAAAATATTTTTGTTTAAGTTTTTTGAAAGATTTTAATTCTAATTAAGCTTAAATAAAAAAAAAATTAATTCAAGTAGAACTAAGCTAAACTCATTTAAGAAAAAAAAAAGAAGAAATTAAATTAATTTAAGAAAAAAAACAAAGTCTTAAGATTTTATAAAAAAGTCTCAACCTAATTAAACTTAATGAAGAGAGATTAACTAAAAATCCTAACTCTAGGTTAATCAATATATAAAAAAAATTAAAATAAATTAAAATCTAAATTGATTTAAATAGAAAAAAGAAATTAAATTCCTTAAGAAAATATTTTTGGGTCTTTTGTTTAATAAAAATAAGTTAAAATATCTAAATAATAAATATTATATATTTTTGATATTTTTGATTAATAATAATAATAATAATAATAATAATAATAATAATAATAATAATAATAATAATAATAATAATAATAATAATAATAAAACGATAAAGAAAAATAAAATAAAATAAAAATCTAAAATTAAATTCAAGGGGTTTGAAAATAGCTTAAGGGGTTGGTAAGTAAATCTGTTTTGGATTTTGGTTTGAGGCCCAATATTGGCTTTTTTGTAACCAGAAAAGAAAATAAAGCAAGACAAAAAGGTGGGCCTGCGTACATGAAGCAAACAGGGGGGATATTGTTGAGTAAATGAGGATGAGGCCCAACAAAGGGAGCCCAACGCGCCTGCAAAAATACAAAAATAGGAAACAAAGAAAATGTGAAAAATTAAAAAGGTCTCGCTGGAGTTCGAACCCAAAATCTTACACACTAACGCCTTACACACACACACGCTTGCCACTAGGGTGACTGTTTCATTCGTGTATAAAACAACTTGCGCTAAATTTAAAATAAAACAAGTACATGGCCAACTCCGTCTTCTTCCTCGCGCAAGAAATCTCAACATGATTTTTAAAACTTGTAATTTCTTCATCTCTCAACCAAAATGGAAAATGTAAACATGAAAGTTGCTCCATTTTTCCATACGAATTCAACAATATAAATATCATAAGCTATAAATCAAAGATGAGTGAGAATTTCTAATGATACCAAATTTGACCTAACTTTTTCAGAAAGTTTAACTCTAAAATTCTCTCTACCCAGGCAACATAAATGAATTCTAAGGACATGGTTAGCTTCAGGGCTATGATGTCTACATTTTATTTTCACAAATGGAAACCAAATGATGCCTATATGAAGAGTTCAAAAGTCAGAAAACTCACCTTGAAAATGGAATTCGTGTTTTGAGTTTGAGCAACTTTCAAGGTGCTACGATGATCAGGTTAGCTTCCTTGAGTCCCTAGGAAGCTAATGCAATACTTAGCTTGGATTGAGGATGGCTAAATCGTGCTGGAGAAGTCAATGTGCAACACCCTATTTTTGATTATGGAGGATGGTGATATAGGTGTTACAGTTCAAAAACAGGGACATGGATGAACTATATTTGATGTATGGAAGCTTTTAAAACGATTTTGAAGGAAAACACACGATGGAAATGGAAGATACAAGTTCAAGAACAGAATTGTATACAAATGGAATTTTGTATGCAATTTATGGCTAGAGGGAGTTTGGGAGAGTTTCAGGGATTCTAATTTTGTGTCCTAAGTTTCATAAGAGTGTCTTGATATATAGGAAAATGTTTGGAGACTTGGAATGATCAGAATCACAAGATCACAAGTTTATAGGATTTTAACTTGTTTTTGAAGCAAGTTTGATAAGTATGGTTTCAAGGTAAGGTACAAAGATATCTAGAGTGGTTACAAACTTTAAACATGCTTATCTGACTTTGTAGAGGAAGCTTGTGCAGAAGGAACAAGTGCAAAGCTCAATACAAGTTGACTTTGGATAAAGCTTGCTTTATGAGAATGGAATGGTAACTTTCTTCCAAATATGGCAAATTGCTTTGGATAATGCTTGAATTAATTGGACAATGGCTCAATAAATTGTGTAAATCATTAATTATGGATTGAAACACAAGTTTGAGGCCTGCAAAGCAAGATTATGCAGCATGGCTTATGGATTTGGTCAAGTGTTCTTCATGAAAAATGCCTTGTAATTCAAGTTTGAAACCCTAACTTCATCTCTTCGATTCTCCTAGATCAAGAATGATCTTAATGAGTTCTTGGATATTTTGAAAATCTTGGAACATCCTCTACAAACTTTATGGTTACCATTTTTACAAAATATTCTTGGATCTTGGTGAAAATTGACCAAGAAGTTAGGTCAAAAATATTCCTAAACTAGGTTAAAATTTCACTAAGTGTTTAAGAAAAAGTGCATGACTTTATGGATTCATAGCTAAAAATCCAAGCATTTCTAGGACTTGATCAATAAAAAAAAGTTGTAGATATCATCAAGATCTACAAATTTCATGTTGTAAGTTTTCTTTAAATCATCTTGCATCTTGGTGAAAAGTTGGTATAAAGTCATGAAAAAGTAAGACTTAAAACACTTAGAAAATTTTCCAAGTCTTGAAAACTTTGACTTTTCAAAATGACTTTTGACTTTCTTGATTTTTTGATGATAAAGTTCATATTATTGAATGTCTTGATGAAATATGATCTTCGAAACTCAAATTTGATCAAAACGTCAAAGTTTGACTTTTTGGTGCACAATTGACTTTTTCACCAGTTGACCAAATTTCAACTATCAATCAATTGATCTTGAGAAGTGAATTGAGATATGTAATTAGGTCAAAATGATGCATTTTAATCCTTGAGATCATCTTTCAAACCAATAATTCATGTATTAGGTCAAAAGTCAAAGATTAGCCATTTGTAGTCAAAACCGTAATTTTGACCATTTTGCCCTTTTGGTGATTTGAACAATTTTCTTGTGGAATTGTGATCCAAAATTGATCAATTTATACACATGACTTCAAAATGTTGATATTGGTAAAAAATGTTGAAGTTTGACTGTAGGTTGACCACAATTGACTTTTTACCCAATACAATTGATTTTAGGTCATCTGATCAATTGACTGAGCAATTTTGTGATCCAAGACTTGAAACTTGACATGGGAAATCTTGAGGGTCCATAATGATTCATGAAAGTATTTTGAAGTATTAGAAGTCCAATTGTCCTTGTGCAAACTCAAACCCTAATTTGAGGTATCGGTGTTGTGGAGATGTCTTAACCTAGTCAACTCTGATGCAAGCTTGAGCTTTTGAAGATCTTTGTGAGAAATGTCTTGAGAGAAGAGAGGGAAAGTTTTGGGGTACAAAAATTTTCCCTGTTCAATCTTCTTAAACTGGAAGAATTAGATTGGCGAGTCCGCCATTCGTGACTTGAAGGTGGAAGATGATTGAACACTAAAGTGCCCAGAAATTTGCACTCGACTATGCGTTAGTTGATTGTGTCGGGAATAAGATTAAAC